TGCAAAATGTGAAATTTTTTTTTTTTTTTTTTTTTTCTCTCCTGATTCGCAGCTTCTTCCCGTTTTTTTTTTTTTTTTTTTTTTTTTTTCTCATTTTTTTTTTTTTTGCCCCCTCAGTGGTGTGTCCTCCTCTTTTTTCCTGGCGATCCAATTTAATAATTCGCCCTATTCTTTTTTGCCCTGTCAAAATTAGCCCACAATGCCACGAATTAAGCGAAGAGAAACCTGAACAAGTAGAATAAGGGGCGAGGTGTGTCATTACCATTTTTAGATCTTCATCTGTTCATGCTGTTTTTCTTTCACACCATTTTGCTCGAACTGTCCTCTGTGCACCCATTTCGTTGCTTCATTTTTTTTTTACACAATTTGTTGCGAAAATTTTGCCAACTTGTTGCGTAATTTTAGTCCATTTTTAACCCGCTTTTTGGCCCATTTTGCCTCCTTTTTTTTTTTTTTTTTTTTTTTTACCCTTTTGCTTTTTTCCGCGGCGCATTATTTATTCTCCAAATATTTTTATTTTAATATTTTTTTTTTTTTTAATGCTTTATCCCGTTGGCTGGCCCCTCAGGGCGCAGGAAAATTCCTCGACGCCCCGGCGGTGCCATTTTGCAACCACCGCGTTCAGGTAAATGCACAGGGTGTGTCGAAGGACACAGTTGGCCAAAGCATGTGGCACTCTTTTTTAGGAGGGTGTGTTGCATGTGTTCCTCGCGGAGGAGTAGGGGATGCCTCCACATGTGTAGGTAATCCCTCACTTGTGTAGGTGTTCCTCTGTGGAGCGGACTTTGAAGAGCTGCCCCTGGTGGCTCCTCTTAGTTCCTCCCGACCCTTTGCCAAAGTGTTCTTAATTTTTCACACCGTCGATCTTTTATGCAGGAATTTTTTTTTTTTTTTTTGTTGGCTAGTCCATTACCCATCTGCTTATTCTCTACCACTTGCATACCCATTTATGTATTTATTGCCTAGTCGTTTAGTCAGTTCTGTCACGAATTAGGGGACACATCACTGCTCAATCGCGTGTGCCTTGTATCCGGCCAGTTGTCCTACATGAAGCTGCAACAAGTGTAGGTTAGACCGTGTCGCGCGGAGTAGACAAGTCCATTTTGGTGGCACGTTTTCGCCCCTCTTTTTTTTTTTTTTTTTTTTTTTTCCCCCCCCTCCCTCCGCAACAATGTCGAAGAATAAGTCCATCGAGGAGAGATACCAGAAAAAGTCGCAAATTGAGCACATCTTGCTGAGGCCAGATACGTACATAGGAAGTGTGGAAATGCACACGCAGCTGCTATGGGTATGGAACAAGGAGCGAAATAGAATGGTTCAGAAGAATATCACGTACGTTCCAGGGTTGTATAAAATATTTGACGAAATTATAGTGAATGCAGCAGACGTAAAAGCAAGGGAAAAAGAAAAAACTGAAAACCCTATGACCTGTATAAAAATTGAAATTAATAAGGAACAAAACAAAATAAGTGTGTACAACGATGGAGAAGGAATACCAGTAGACATACATAAAGAAATGAATATTTACGTACCTCATATGATATTTGGGGAGCTGCTCACTTCAGACAATTACGATGATGCGGAGGACAGAATTACAGGTGGAAGAAATGGATTTGGAGCAAAGCTCACAAATATATTTAGTAAAGAATTCATGGTGCAGTGTGGAGATAGCTCGAGAAAAAAAGAATTCAAAATGGTGTGGACAGATAATATGTCTAAGTTTTCTGAACCACATATTAAAAATTATAATGGAAAGGATTATGTGAAGGTCACTTTTAAACCTGACTTGGCTAAATTTGGAATGACCGAAATGGATGACGATATAGAAAGTTTGCTGTGCAAGCGTGTGTATGATTTGGCCGGTACGTGTAGCGTTAGGGTTTATTTGAATGGGAACCGGTTAGGCATTAAGGATTTTAAAAGTTATGTCGATTTGTACTTGAAGGACAATGCTGGGGTGACTCCCCCAAAGGGAGGCGCAAACGCTAATGCAAATGCCAATGGAAACGGTAGTGCAGACGCGAGCGCTAACCAAACGACGCAAAATCTAGATGCAAGCGTTTCGCAGGAACCTGGAGAAGGGACACCCAGCAAAAGCAATGCTGCAAATGGAACGCAAAATAATGATGAGGAGGAAATTGTTAAAATACACGAAAAGCAACATCGCTGGGAAATTGTCGTATCTAAAACAGACGGTTCGCAGTTCCAGCAGGTGTCTTTCGTCAACAGTATATGTACCACGAAAGGAGGATCCCATGTGAACTACATTGTAGAGCAATTATTGAATTCGCTTAGTAAGAAGGCGAACGCAAAGAATAAAGGAGGAATGGAAATAAAGTCAGGACATATAAGAAACCACTTGTGGGTGTTCGTCAATTGCTTAATCGTTAACCCAACATTCGACTCACAGACGAAAGAAACGTTAACAACCAAGCCGGTCAAATTTGGAAGCAAATGTATCCTATCTGATAGAACGATTAATGGCGTTTTGAAGAGTTCCATTCTTAGCAATATTTTATTATGGGCCCAAGCAAAGGCACAAGTAGAGTTGAGGAAAAAAATGAAGGCAGGCTCTTCAAAAGCGAGGGAAAGAATTATTGGTATACCCAAACTGGAGGATGCACATGATGCAGGTAGTAAACACAGTCAGGATTGTACGCTCATTCTTACAGAAGGAGACAGTGCCAAGACGTCGTGTCTCGCTGGTTTGTCTATTGTTGGAAGGGATAAATATGGAGTGTTTCCTCTTAAGGGAAAATTATTAAATGTGAGGGATGCATCTTTTAAACAATTAATGGATAATAAGGAGATTCAAAATATTTTTAAAATTATGGGGTTAGATATTACAGATAAGAATAAGGAAGATATAAAAGGGTTGCGATATGGATCCCTCATGATCATGACTGACCAGGATTATGACGGTTCCCATATTAAGGGATTATTAATAAATATGATTCACAAATTTTGGCCTAGCTTGCTAAAGCATAAAGGGTTCCTAAGTGAATTCGTAACACCAATTGTGAAGGTACAGAAAGGGAACCAGGAGCATTCGTTTTTCACCATCGCAGAGTATGAGCAGTGGAAGGAGAGTACCAATTTAGTGGGATGGAAAATAAAATACTACAAAGGGTTGGGTACTTCTACAGATAAAGAATTCAAACAATATTTTTCAGATATTAAGAATCATAAGATTATGTTTCTGTGGACAGGAGATCGAGATGGAGATTCCATCGACATGGCATTCAGTAAAAAGAGAATTGAAGATAGAAAATTATGGCTTCAAAATTTTGTTATTGGTTCATATGTAGACCACAAGGAAAAGGATTTGTCTTATTACGACTTTGTAAATAAGGAACTTATATATTACTCGAGATATGACACAGAAAGAAGTATTCCAAATATTATGGATGGGTGGAAACCAGGACAAAGGAAAGTTTTATACGGTTGCTTTAAGAGGAGTTTAAGAAATGAATGTAAGGTGGCTCAGCTGGTAGGATACATAGCAGAACATAGTGCTTACCATCATGGTGAGAATTCACTACAACAGACCATTATAAATATGGCTCAAACATTTGTAGGTTCTAATAATATAAACTTTTTAGAACCATGTGGTCAATTTGGTAGTAGAAAAGAAGGAGGAAAAGATGCTTCTGCGGCTAGGTATATTTTTACCAAATTGGCTAGTTCTACAAGAAGCATATTTAACGAATATGATGACCCCATTTTGAAATATTTAAATGAAGAGGGACAGAAAATAGAACCAAAGTACTACATTCCAGTCATCCCTACCATTCTCGTAAATGGATGTGAAGGGATAGGAACAGGTTACTCCTCCTTTATCCCTAATTATAACTACAAAGATATAATTGAAAATATTAAAAAATATATTAACAAAGAACCCCTGATCCCGATGATCCCATGGTATAAAGATTTTAAGGGCAGAATAGAATCAAATGGAAAGACAGGATTTGAGACCATTGGTATAATTCGCAAAATAGATGATGAAACGTTAGAAATTAATGAGCTGCCGATTAAGAAATGGACACAGGATTATAAGGAGTTCTTAGAAGAGCTACTCACTGACGAGAAGAATCAACTCATTTTGGATTACATGGATAATAGCTCCCATGAAGATATTTGTTTCACCATTAAAATGGATCCTGCAAAATTGAAGAAAGCAGAGGAAGAAGGACTGGAAAAAGTTTTTAAATTAAAAAGTACGCTCACAACCACTAACATGACTTTGTTTGATCATAATTTGAAACTGCAGAGATACGCCACTGAACTGGACATCCTCAAGGAATTCTGCTTCCAGCGACTACAGGCATATGAAAATAGAAAAAGCTATTTGATCTCCAAATTAGAGAAGGAAAAAAAAATAATTTCAAATAAAATGAAATTTATTCTTGCCATTGTCAACAATGAACTTATTATTAATAAGAAAAAGAAAAAAGTGCTTGTGGAAGAATTGTATAGAAAAGGGTATGATCCTTATAAAGATATTAATAAAATTAAAAAGGAAGAAATTTTCGAACAGGAACTACCTGAATCGGTGGATAATGCTGAAGACAATGAAGAAATTATAGCTGGTGTTTCTGTTAAGGATTATGATTATCTGTTGAGCATGCCCATTTTTAGTCTCACCCTAGAGAAGGTAGAAGAGCTGATCGCACAACATAAGGAAAAGGAAAAGGAGTTAGACATTTTAAGAAATATAACTGTGGAGACCATGTGGCTGAAGGACATTGAAAAGGTGGAGGAAGCTATTGAGTTTCAGCGCAATGTAGAATTAGCCAACAGAGAGGAGAGTAACAAATTTAAGGTCGCCAGGAAACAATGGGGTAGTAACTTGAGGAAAAAGAAGAAGAAGAAAAAACTCTCCAGTGACGAGGAATCATCAGGTGACTCTTCAGACAGTAGTGAATTCATAGTGCAAAGTTTAAACATTAGAAAAAATAAAAAACCCCCAAATAATAATGGGCCTAGTGGCACTACACGAAAAAAATTAAGGACAGCAAATGCAGGGGCAGATGATAATAACAATAATGACACCCCTATTGTAGTCAATGGAGATGTAGACAATAGTGTATCTCAATCCAAGGCAGCTGACGATGGGGACACGAACCTGTCGGACTCCACGCCGCTTCTTAGTAAAATCCTAGCTGACGCCGATGCAGACGTCACCGTTGGAGGTAGCCATAATAACCGCAATAATAACAAACCTAGTAGTAGTAGTAAAAACTCTAGGAATAAAAAACTGCCCTGTACGGAGCAGGCCCTCCATAGTACTGTGCCCTGCGGGGTCGCGGTCCACGCCGATGCTGCGTCTAACGCGCGGGACCAGACTCCCACCAAACCGCTAGGCATCCCCGAGAACATCACCATTGCGCCCAACAGCACCATCAACCTGAATGACTTCTCCGGCATCCGGAGCAAGTTGCTCGAGCTTGGTACTGTTCTCGTGCGAGCGGTTTATGCATCTGTGTAGGAGCGGCTTATGCATCTGTGTAGGAGCGGTTTATGCATCTGTGTAGGAGCGGTTTATGCAGCTTCTGTCAAGTGGTCTACCCCCCGTGTGCTTCTAACCCACGCATGCGCTTATATATTACCGTGCCGCGTTCCCCCCCCTGCAGAGAATAAGAAGAAGCCACGACTGAGTTTGGCCGAGAAGGTTAAGATGACAGCAACGCAGAAGAAAGGCACCCCCGCGAAGGACACCGGTGGAGACAAATCCACACCCAAGAGGAAAAAGGTAAAACAGAAAGCGGCCTCTGTCAGCATGAAAATGTTGCCCGTAGTATATTTACGCCGTGTGTCTTACAACAAAAGTGCGGAGTTGCCCGACATTTTTGTTGTTTTTTTTTTTTTTTTTTTTTCGCGTCTGTTGTTGCACTGCCTGTTATTATGCCCATGTGGTTAATTTCCCCCCGCAGAGCAACTTACTGGACGCCTCAAAGTCGAAAAAGGGATCCAAATTTGATAGCGATGATTCAAGCAACGATGTAAGTGACGTTATGTAGATTACGTTCGGAGTGTCACCACGTGTTAATTATGACGCCGCATTTTGTACTTTACTATGCCCCGATTGCTTCCCTATTGCTACCTTGACCTGTCCCTCCTGTCCTATACCTGCGTTCCGTTCCGTTTCCCCCCCTTTTTACAGTTTGCCTCATCGGATGAGAGTGACAGCTCGTACAACATATAAGGAAGGTGCGCATGTGGACCACTGGGTGCCTACTCATATCGTGAAGTACCGTATTCATTTGACCAACCAAGAAGACCACCTAGGTGGACCGTAGTTACGTAATTTTTTTGTTTTTTGGTTTTTGTATATGTGTGTACGTCATTTTTCTTCCCCCCCGTTTATGATGCGTGTGTGTGTGTGCGGTGTCTTCCCCTTTCAGTTGCACACAAGTGTGCCCTTTGCACTTGCAAACTCGAACGGACTGCAGCCGACTGGCTGTGCTTTTATTAAGTAAAAAATGGGGACTAGGCGTGCTGCCAGAAGTGGCCACGCATGAACCGCGTAACAACCACACACCTGGTGCGCTTCTAACCGGGTGAACGAGTCCGCTCTTCGAAGTCTCCTTCGCTTCCCACCTATGCAAGGGGTCCAGGAGTGGGAGCAGCATCCCCACGGTGGTGTTATATCTTCCCCCCCTGGTCATCATCAAAATGGACGGTTTTCTAATTAGTTCTCTGGGGATTAATAAGTAGGTAGGCTTTTCCGAGCTGCCCTACACCGATATAGGTGCGGTGCATATTTTTTTTTTTTTTTTTTTTTTTTTTATAAATTTTATTTTACATACATTACCACCTCGACATTGCTTGTTCGAGGCGTCCTTTTTAAACTGCGGTAAATTTTGAATTACAAAAAAAATTGGAGCTTCTCCCCGCGTGGCATTGTAAATGTGTGACAGAGGTG